TTTGTTGCATAAGTTGTTCGGATAGCCACTCGACCCCATCCATCAATCCCTCGCCGGTCATTGCATTTGACGCCTAATATGAGATGAGATTTGTTAATGATTTCATTAATTGTTATTTAACTCACATAATGTATTATTTAGTCAGATTTTATTTTGGTAGTAAACTATACTTAAATATATTTTACTCGTAAATAAATATAAAAGTTGTGACAAATCTAACTGATTTGGTTGCATTTTAAACAGTACATGGTTAACATACTGTACCTGTATATGCCAGGCCTTGTTCTTGAACTGATCCAAACCCAAAGTTTGGCTAATTTTGACGCTCGAAAGTGACTCTTTTAAGTCCATTTTGTTGGCAAAGAATAAGATGGGAATCGATGGCTTGGATGAGATGTCCGTATGCTTTAACATCATTTCGAGTTCATCTTTGGCCACAACTAATCGCAAAGAGTCTGAGCTGTCGATTACGAATATGATTCCCTCAACGCCTTTATAATAGTGTTCCCATAGGTTGCGATACCTTCCCTGACCCGACATATCAAATGCAGTGAACGTTAAGTTTTTAATTTTAAATTTTTCCACATTAAAGCCAACGGTTGGCACGATTTCACTGGTCTTCTCTTCTGGAGGCTTAAAGTGGTTCATAATAGTAGTCTTTCCGCTGTTATCCAAACCCACCACTAGTATATTGGCCTCACGTTTCTTAAAGCCTAAGAGTGTCAACAATTTGGTGAAAAATGCCATTTCACTGATGTGTGAAATTTGTTATTTTAGCACTACATTCACCACATATTAAAAGCTCATCACAAATCACTTTTAGCCGTAAATGACAATTGATTTGTTTAGCTTTTGTGGTCCCGTTGTCAGTGGATACCATTGGATACTATTGTACAGAGTATTCATCATAACTTATTCTTCCTTATAATGTGTGCTATAATTCCAAAGAATTGCTTATTTTTAATTGATTTGTTTAGCTTTTGTGGTCCCGTTGTCAGTGGATACCATTGGATACTATTGTACAGAGTATTCATCATAACTTATTCTTCCTTATAATGTGTGCTATAATTCCAAAGAATTGCTTATTTTTAAAAATTGATATACAGTATCACTGTATCACTGTATCATAGTCAATTCAAGTAAAGTGTGTGTACCATGAGTATAAATAGTTTATTTATCAATCAACTTAATATATTGAAGAATTTAAAACTTTATTTATTATTTCGAAAATATTGAAACCCATTTATGAAAATTATCATAAATAAATAAATAATTTGTATGAATTACTTTAGTAAAAGGTTTGAGTTTGTAATTAGGATAATTAAAATATTAAATCCTTATAAATTATACAACAGAATATAATAAAGGCCATCAAAAATGATAGTTTGACCACCAATTTGTGTGAACCTGGTTCATCTGAAATGGTTATGTTTTCAGTGCCCATATTGTCTATGCTTTGTGTACGCAATTCCTGCTGACTTTGTGTATTTAATAAATGATATTTTACAAATTTATTGATTAATCAAACAACTGGTAGGACTAACCCATCATTATTGTCCTCAAATCCATTAGTGTCACTCCCAGTGAACCCTTCAATTGTTTCACTATATCTGTCAATTTGTTTGTCTATGTTTTGTTTAAAAATTGAAGTCGTAATGGATATTGAGATGACAAATACTATTCCTATTGAATATATTCTTAAGATATAAGACATTTAGTTTATTAGATTTAAGTAACTAATGTATGTATTGAAAGAACAGAATTAAATCAAACAAAATTCAAATGAAATGCAGTAACAATTAAAGTTATCATTATGTAACTTTCCTATTGAATATTGTTGCAAATTAGTGTTTATTAAAATAGAGATTAATGTGGTTTTATTAATTTATCATTTTATTATATAAAATAATATTAAATCAATAGAGAAAATTAAAATGAAATTTTTAAAATAATGAGAATTTAGATGTAATAATCATATAAAGGATAACAAATTTTTAAAGATTGAGATTTGAGTGAATAATTTAAGAGCTGGCGTCGGGCGTAGCCACAGGAGTACTGGTTTTAGTATCAATGGTTTGAATCTCATTTTCTTGACCTTTTCTTCGACAACGGATCACCAAAAGGGCAATCAATATCAGTACCACAATGACCACAACTACTACACTACCGGTTATGATGTAAAACATCCAGTTAAATGTTGAACACATATCCGATATATTTTTCTGATCACTGCATTCGAGTTCAACTTCCGATTGCTATTATGTTATACACAACTATTAGACCCAAAAAATGTTTTTATACCCACAAAACCAAACCTTTAAATTATAACTGCATTTATAATACTTAGTTCGCCACCGGGTTATTTCACTAATAGTTTGTGTCTCGAATAAATAGACAGTTTTGTTGTCATTGTCCACAAAGCCCGCGTCTACCTCCCGAAGGTCTGGAGTGCTTCCCACCCAACGAATGGCTTTGTTTTTCTTTTGCCATCCCTTCTCAACCGAACAGAACACGAGTTGTGAACCCGTCGTCCCTATCGTATCGATTCAATCGATTTAAGTTTAATTTAATATAATTTATGTCCGAAATTACCGTAAATGAAGAGCACTCCAAAGGACTGGAAATATAGGATGGCCCGGATGTCATGGGTATGTAGTTGTAACTGAAACACATTCGGTTCTTTAGCCAACACCTCCAAGATGTCAATTTGTTGATGACTAATGTCTGCGTTAACGAGGTTCTGCCAGCCGTCAGTCGAGTAATAAGTAAACGGGATTAATGTTCTTGGATCCATGGGCACCTACATTCAAATTGGGGTTTTAATGTTTATTACAATATACTACAATTAAAACAAAAAGCTTTACAAATCTTTTTACGATCTTATCAATAAAACTTTTGATGTCAATAAATATTTGTTATTACATTCTAAGGGTACATTTTAAATGTATTGAAAGTTTTGTCTATTAAATGCACTTAAAATACTTACATTAAATAGATATAACTTTTCGACAACATTAACACAATATCCGTCAAAATCAATAGGGAATGCATAGGCCTGTCCAGTCAGTCCATGTTCTTGTATGAGTTTAGTGCGACCATTGGTTTGAATGGCACTGATTTGCTGTGAATAGTAAGTAGGTCTCCCGTATTGGTAAATGGCATAACTGTTACGTTGCCATAAAATGTAAGAATCGTTGACCAGATTTGAGATCGTTATGAATCCTTCCAAATGTTGTGAACTTCCATTGGAGCAAAATATCGGCGAACATATTATGCAAGGAATACTTAACACTAATATAATAATTGTCACTAAATTTAATCCCATTTTACAAGAAATTCAATCTTATTCTCTCTTTAAATTGATTTCTGAAACACAATTTAGAGCTAAGATTTTGAATTTCTATTTTCACGCCATTTACGAATTATTGTAATTTAATTGGATATCAAATATAACAATGAAAGGTAATGATACTAAAGTAATGCTTACAAATAGACTTTAATTTTAGCCACAGTATAGGCCCTATACTATAGGGTAAGCAAATTATAATAAATTATATCAATTGGACCAACAAATAAATTACCGGTAATAATTTAGTTAATTTTAATCTCAAAAATTAGACAATAAGTTAAATTACAAATCATAAGTAAATAGTTAATACATTCGCAACATTGATTGAAATGTAATAAATGTAATTTAAACTGTTTTTAATTATAATGTAATTAAAAATGAGAAAAAGTAAAAAAGCGATAGAAGTGATCAGTGAATGGAAGTGAATGTATGCGAGAGTTATGCGTTCCTAATGCCCAACGCCTGCTCCAATTCAGCCCTCCTTTG